TTTCTTTTCCCTAGAAGTTTGCTCATTCTTTACGCAAGAAAGCTTCGAAAGAGCTTATCACCGCTCTCTTTATCAAGTTAGGTTAGTTCAATTATTATGCATCCCATACCCATCTTGTGGGCGGTAGTGGAAAGGGTTACAGAGGCACATAATGGGCTCAGGGACTGAACAACACAATTCATTTAGCTAAGCAAGTTACAACTGTAATCAATGATTACAGGGTAATCAGATTACAATTGTAATCTCATCAAATTCAATCTTGAATTTGTGACAATCAGTTACAAAATTCAATATAAGTCGTCACATCAACAATGGGTTCGAGATCGACCACAAGTACAGTTTCTAAATTAAGCAACTGACATATGTGGAGAGCTATATAGTGTCACGTACACAACACATTTAGTTCCGTTTTTATTACCTTTATTATTGTCTTTCTCTGACGCCCAAAACTATTCCCCAAAAGTTACAGAAGTTGAAATATGAAATCATGAGAATAATTTTAGAACGCAGAAGAAATGCTGTAATTGAGGTAATGAGGAAGGGGAGGGAACTATCAGGGGAAAGCGCCAAGCCATCACGACTATGTAGCACTAGGAAGGTGTCAGGATAAGGACAAGTTACAGCCCGCTCCTGTGCCAGGTAAGTCCAATACGGGCTCACCATAGCCCGTGCTATTTGGAACTTTTTGCTCCGATTAGCTGAATCTAAAACAACAACGTCAGGTTAAGGATTAGGGATGGGACGGGGAGAAGGAATGGCACCCTACCATTTGGACGGTCGGGGATTGAACGCCGACCTGTACGAAGCGAGACCGTTGCTCTACCGTCCAAAACTTACAGCGTATTGGGGATAGATTGATTGATAAAGATTAAGCCACCCTAAAGGTGGCTCGGGCACGAATAGCCCGCAATGGGGATAGATTGATAAAGATTAAGCCACCCAAGAGGTGGCACGGGCATGAATAGCCCGTAAGTGGTGGCCCTTTTGAGCCATTACCAGTATCAAGAGCTGATACTGGAGATCTGTGGAGGTGCGACTGCACCCTGCGTGACGGGAGATGTCTCCCGTCTGTAATAGGGATAGAGTTTCGGAGATAAATATATAGCATCGGCGACAGGGTTGCCGAAGCTTCATTTATCTCTGAAATTCTATCCCCAATACTCTGTAAGTTCAATCACATTGAACTTACACACACACATCATCATTACACACACACATCATCATTATCTCAGTAATAGTATTTCTTAGGTCATGAGAATAATCTTGGGATCATTCTCATGGCTTCATTTTGTACCTTCTCCAAACTCGTTTAGTCTGCCTTTACCAAAACAAGACATGACACGTGCAGCATAATCAATAAGAGATCTCACAGTATTCCATGCGATTACCACTGCAATGTGAAATGTAGAATATAATTAATAATTGTGTACTGTGTGGGTATGTGAGTCCCTTGAGCTTATAAATTATATAGACGAAGGTAGAAATAGCCTAGGCTACTCAATATTTTGAGATGTACTTCCTTTTCTCAATGAACTTACTTGAACTTGAACTTGAACTTGACAGGGTTGTCAGATCCGAATTGATGAAAGTATCGAGCTGACGGTCTATAATTAAAATAGCCCAATATTTTGTTTAGCGACTGACACGGTTTTGAGAGTAATATATTTTAATACATAGAGAAACACTACATGATTTATTGGTTGTATTAATATTATTGCTGCATGTATAATTACACATCACGGGATAACAGCAATATTTGCTGCATGAAGTATAATGGGTCTGAGTCCTTCCTCGTCTTCACAATTGAAGATTATTAAGATCGTCTGTATCCACAACCTCATTCTTGTATATTGCAGACTCATATTTTATCACTGACATGGGTGGTTCAAATGATGAGCAGTAAGTGTTTTAACATTTTTTTTTTGTATTTCCCATTTTTGAAAGTTTCTGCATTATTGCGAGAAAAACTCTTTGCAAGCTTTCACTAAACATTTAGGGCATTTTTCTTGAACATTTTGAAGCTTTTCATGTTTTATAGCATGTTTTTGTCTGTTAGTGGCCAAAAGTGTAGAAAATTCAGAACCAAAGTCTACTTTCTCCAGGGGCAGATAATGGGAATTCTAGTTCATATTAACATGAAACTTTGCATGATCAGGATGCACGATTCTTCAGAATATTCCAAGAGTGAAGTTTTCTAAGTCAGTGTGAAGGCTACACTGATCTGCTTCATATTTTTGATAAAACTAAATTCATCCTTTCAAAATCATTTAGGACTCGTTTGAGGAATGTGAAAAATTATATTGGCGGGATCAGAGTACATTGAAAATAGTTGTCTTGCAACATACTTATCACAAGAGGAAGAAATTTGGTAATAAGTTGTTCAAGAATCCCACTAATCTAACAGCCGCTCTACACTTTTGTTCCCTTACCAACCATCGTCTTCCTGACAAAGGTATCAACTGTAAGGGATCTTTCCCATCATTTATAAATCTGTAAATTTCTAGATAACTTTCTCTCCTGAATGAGCCTGTGGAACGCGGCTGTAGTTTTCTCTTAATATGAAGTTGATGCTGGAAGGTAATTCGTCAGATGCATGATAACAGACCAAATGCAAAGAATGACATGTGTAATGACATGTGCATTTGATAAGAAACAAATAAGGGATATCTGTCTTCCCCAGAGTAAAATGAAAGATGAGGTCCATACAGCTGATTAAAGATGATCTTTCATGATCATTGATCCATACAGTTGATGAAAGGCCCGTGAAAGATCATGCTTCAAATAAACTCAAATATACCAAAATAATTTTTGATACAAGGTGCCAAATACACAAGGTGCCAAAGTGTATGCCTATGCCATACACTTTGGTGTATGGAGGAGGAGGTGGTACCAAATGGGAGATGAAATTCTTCACAAGACTGAGGAGGAGGATCTAAAAAAAGTTGATATCACACCGACATTTTCTTCTGAAGCCCATATCAATAGGATATCAGCAGCACCATATGCAAGATTGGCTAACATAAGAACTGTCTTAAGAAATTTATGTAAAGAATTATTCAGAACCTAGTACTGTACTGGTATACAGTATCACAAATGTCAGACCATTCCTGGCGTATTCACCTCTAGCATTGAATCCATATTTATTCGAGCACAAGGTTGAACTTCGCATAACTGGAGAACAGAAGAATAAGGGGAGATAGAATATACATACAAAATTCTCAGGGAAATTGATAGGGTAAAGATATTGTTTATCATGGGTGGTACTCGCACAAGGGGAAACTGAGTATGTACTCAAATGAACCACACACATTAGAACTAATTTTTGTCAGTGTCAATAGTTAACAAATGAACTTAACTAGGAAGTGATGGTGAAGGCTGACTCCATGCACAGTTTTAAATGTAGATACAACAAAGCCCAATTGGATCATGAACCAGTTGATTGACAGTCGAGAGAGGCAACCAAAGAGCCAAAGCTGAACACCCCCCCCCCAAGAACAGTTAGGTGAGCACAATACAATAAACAGTAAGTACAACTTTGCTGGTACCAATGGAAGAAATAAGAGACAATAACGACAGGAAAACATCCTGACAGAACAAATGACACAAAATAGTACAGTGGAACATCCAAGGTCTCAAGCAAAAGATCCACATACTCCAAGAGAGATTATAAAAAAGGACATACGTAATGTACTATTATAGGAAACACTTACAACAAGTTGATAAAAAGTTCCCCAGCTAGTAAAATTGTTGACTTCACATAAGTCCAGGTTGCAAGGAATCATGATAAATGTAAAAGACAACATACCATGCACACAGAAAAGAACCTTATACTGCTGCTAAGATGGTCATATGCAGGCTGTCCAGTTACATCTAGGTTACATCAACTATACAGACACCAGTGAGCCAAACTAGACATCATGGCTTATTAGTACAGTATAGGCAAAGGACTCATTAATGACCATTGAAGCAGATTTCACCAAACACGTGGCTTTCAATGCAAGAACTGACACACATGTTAACAACAGAAGCTCATGTGAACATAACATTAATGTAGCAGCATATGGGAAGTTAGCAAACATCAGAATGTCATTTAAGAATCTAAACAAGGAGACTTTCAAGTCCATACACACTTCCTATGTGAGACTATTCCATGAGTATGTAGCACCAGCATGGAACCCATCCCATGTGAAGCACAAACAGAAACTTCAGAAAGCTCAGAGATTTGCAACTGGATTAGTACCAGAATTGGGAGACCTATCAGGATAGGTTGAGAGAACTCACCCTCACAGCCTGAGAGAAGAGAAGAAACAGAGAGGAATTGACAAAGTGGATACAGGAAACTTACAACCATCACAGTGACCTAGATAAAATGGAATATGCTTACACTAATGCCATTACACAGGATGCCAATGAGGCCATCTCAAGAAAAAATAACCACAGACATGAATAATAGTTTTACAATGATGAAGGTACAAAAAATAATTAGAAGGTAAAATAACAATGGTAGAGTACAGTATGGGTATATACAAAATGTCCAAAAGAAGAAATACATTATCAACTAATAAAGGGTTTTAGACTATGTTGGGAGGAAGTAAGGTAATTATCAGGAGAAAGTGGTATGTTGGGAGAAGTAAGTTAGAAATACAATATAGTAGTTAAAAATGGCTCAAATGGTGCCAAACCTTCAACCAACCCAAGTGTTTGGGAAAAACTCTGAAGCAGACTCAATGATGTGTAAATTAGGGAATGATTTCAAATTGTATAAATGTTGAATAGTGAGAAACTAGTTTTTATTTAATTATAAGGGTAATGAACAATGGGGTTAGTCTGTCTGAAGAAGTATTTTGTCAGACTGAGGAAAATCACTCCTGGCATCACCATTTCTGTCAGTGTTCAGGAAAACCATTTGGACCTTCAGTACCATTGATAAATGATGAAAAAGCATAATAACTACCTATACATTAATTTATAAAAATGTGGATTTAAAATCATACTAACTGTTTTAAGATTTTTTTTATTATTCCTAAAAACAACACACATGTAAAACTTGGCCATTGCAATATCCTGGGCCACTCTGGGCTATGGCCAGGTAAGTTGATCATAACTATGTGGGCCATCATAATATGCTGGCCCACTCCACACTGTACTCACATGTTATTTAAAGAGCATAAGTGCAGTATAGCAATTTAGAGGGAAACAATGAAAGTGGTAAGAACTAAACACTCAAATGCTATTAATAACAAAAAGATAAAAGGAAAGAAAGGAAGCAGAGAAACAGAGGTGGTAAGAGGAGGAAGTAAAGAAAAAACACACATAATGATACAGTGTACCATTGTGTGTTTAGCTGTTTAAGGATATAAGTAGGGTAGTAAAGGGTTGCAGAACAACTGACAAAAGATAAAATGAAAAGGAGAGGGAAGGAAAACAACAATTCTCATCTTATAACATCAAATTTTCATATATAATTCAAACAATCTTTTAACATCCTGGAAGTTGTGCACCTTGAGTATTAATGAGAGAACACATGAGAACACATGAAAGCACTGGCTTTCTGGACTGGCCTGTAGCGACGAAAAGAGATTTCTTACATACATCAAAGAATAATGGAATAGACCTCACAACCACTCTGCTCTTCACCATTTTCATCATTGCTTTCAAAAACTATCACTGATGTCCAATATGTGTTACTCTATTCTTAAGGTTTCCTATTATCATGAACCGGAAGTCTATTAAGACTTATAGAGGTCCCCCTAGTCAATGGCAATGTTCTGCACCACTTGGTCATGCAACCAATTACTGGCCATACCCAATGGTGTTTAACTGACTGATTAAGTAATGCTGCACACATCCACTGTGACAAGTGTGACTGACTATCCCCTAGGATGTGATCCACAACAGTCGACTAATTCCCAGGTACAGTACTTATTTACTACTAGATACACAGGCAAATCAGATGTGAAGGAAACGTGCCTAAACATCTTCCTCTGCCTAGGAATCAAATTGAAAATCAAGCGACTGAGTTACAACAAAGGTGTAATCTCTGTTGTCAATCCTGTAAATATCTCACTATCCACTCTTTATTCTGCTAATTATTTGGGTGCTGCACTTTACAGTCTATGTTAGGCTTTACACTGCATGACATTATGCTACAGAGTTTGTATATTTAGCTTTACATTGAATATCAGGCAATATAATAGAATTACTTGGCTTTACTGTGTATATCAGGTTTATATTATGCTCTACTGAAGTGTAGATCAAGTTCTAAGCAATTTTATCACAGCATACAGTATGTTATGTTCGACTGCTTTGTGTGTGTCACTGCCAAAATATTTCAGAAATTTTAGGACATGTACCATTATCTTCTAAACTTCAACTATTTACCAGTCCCACCATCACCAGTCCCACTATCACCACCAGCCCCACCATCACCAGCCCCATCACCACCAGCCACACTGCCATCACTAGCCCCACTACCTCCAAACCTTTGTTTAGACTCTACTGTCCTTCTGTGCCCTCCCCTCCCTCTTTCATTCACTCTTTGTTTCTCTCTCTGTCCATTTCCTCCTTCCCAGTGTCCTCCATCATGATATCCTCTGAATTTTCCTGTCACATTTTGGCTCCTGTGGTTACTGGAGGCACCATTCCTATTTTCGTGCCTGCCTCTTGGCTCCTTGTGTCTTCTCTTTTGTTGAGCATCAAATTTGCAAAAATCGTCTCCCAAAGTTCCAGGAGCTTGATAGCTGAAAGACAAATGTTCCTTAATTATTCTATAGAGTCGATCATATTTATGAAAAATAATGCCCAATAAAGATAGCCCACGAGTAAAGCTGTAGCCTTATCTGACAGCCCAGATAAGTATTAGGCTATACTTATTGTAAAGATGAGGACCACTGTACATGGAGGTAAAAGCCAATTAGAAAGTAGAAATCAGTACTCTTGAATTTGGACAAACCGGAAAAGTTTTAGCACTGATGTTGCAAAGAAAGCTTAACCTAGCCTAACCTTCCTAGGCCTAATACACACTATCTGAGACCTAACATAGTACATATATCTGCTATAATAGGCCTAGGAATATTTATGTTAGGTTCTTAGCTTTATTTTTTCGGAATCTATAAAGTGAATACACTGTAATACGAAATTCTTCTATCTAATTGTCCATTACATTTATTTATGTATGATTGTCCACATAGTTACAAAAAGTGTTATCAAAACAGGAGGATGGGTTGTATCTGATAATGATGGTAATGAGTGAAGAAACAGGCTTCACATGCAGTTGAAAAGTCACAATAACACTGCTGAAAAATGCTGACCAAACCACACACTAGAAATTGAAGAAACGACAACGTTTCGAATCCATCCTGGACCATTATCAAGTCGATTGTGCTGAGACAAGGGAGGCAAGGGCATAAGTAAGGCAAGAGAGAGGTCAGGAGACGGAAATCTTAGAGGAAGATAAGAGCAAGGTAAAAGTACAGAAGGTAAGGTGTAATATAGAGTGTAATAATAGGAGTAAGAATGGGAACGTAAGAGAAACAACAGAAAGAGAAAGAAAAAGAAAAAAAAAGAGAAAAAGGAAGGGGTAGGCTTATGTTAGGTCACGCTTATTAGAAAGCTTAGAACATTTGAGTATGTGCTGTGAAAGGGAAGAGTACTCTTCCCTTTGTGAAAAGTACTTCCCAGCTAAATAGCAGCTGCCTTGCAAGGCCAATAGGCCTTCTACAGTGTTCTTTATTCTTATGCTTTTATATCTGGAGTGGGATTAAGCTCCTGGGTAGGCTCCTCGACCAGCCCTACCTCTTCTCTGCTAAAGTGTTAGCTGAAAAACATGTTTCCTTGCAGCCCAAACTGTTGTGAGGTGAGTTAGCCAGCATTTCCTGGTTACACTTCAGATGCTGCCCTCCTGATGATGAGTGGTGGTGGTGGTGGTAGTCAGGTGGGCAACTAGTTACTAGATGTTAGGAACAGCAGAGATATACTTGGAGGTTTATTTGATTTCAAGTACTGTACTGCTTTTCAAGTACAGTGCTCATTTTAAGTTTAAAGAGATGCACCTTCTGAAAGCCCTTCAAGGTTGAAATGAAAATTCTTCAGTGTCTCCTTTCCTCCTGTTAACCCTTAAACTGCTCAGCAAAAGGGGCAGGAAAGCAAAAAATATTTGAATTACGTAAAAATTACTTAAAAATGTTAAACAAATCTCCAACTTATTGGCTTCAGCGTCGTGAAACTTTCATCAAAATATTTTCAGAAATTGATTTTAGACGAATTTTTTAAAATGAACGTTTTGTTGATAAGGAGAACAGCTCCTATTAACTGGAATTGATGGATAATCCAGTAATAAAGAGATGCAAGCACCTGTCCAACGCACAAAGAAGAAGAATAGTAGTAAGAAGTGTCCACAAAGTGGATATACAGCTGGTGCCTTTATAGCATTGCTGAGTAATACATAACAACACATACTTTCTCATTATTGTTATCATGCTCTATTTTGTTATATATCATATATAATTGTTATATAATATTGCCCAATGTTAATATCTGTTACTTTCATCAATGTCCAAAATTTTTTTTTTTTTTTAGATTTTATTTTTTCAAGTTTTTAATTTTTTTCATCTTTGTTTATTATCGGATTTTGTTGTAACATTCACATCCTGGAGAGTGTATACCAGTCAACTATACTTTAAACTATATGAAGATAGAATGAAATTGGTCAACAAATAAATGTCACAACTCGCAGAACTTGGGACTTTGAATTTTTTGGGCTGATTTTTTCACAGATTTCAAACTATTTTCTTTGTCTCTTTAGGTTGCTTTGATGATTAGGGACCAGTTTAGTTTTTTTTACTTATATAAAGTATACCCTAAATGTATCCTTAAATCATTATAATTATTATAATTATCCATATATTCAGTTTTTTGGGGGGTTAGTTTTTCTTGATTTCATCTCAACAACTGTGTGACTCACCATAGATGTAAAGTGCCTTGTATAGTGACTGTTGTGAGCCTCTTGTTGATCACTTGTGACACAAAAGATTATTGATGTGTGTATTTGTGTGGGTGATTAAATATGTATGTATATGTATAGGTATATATATATATATGTACATGTATGTATGAGAACATGTACATGTATAACATTAATAATTTTGTAACTAGCATCAAAAATTTTTTATTTGCTTAGCTAAACGAACTAGAGAGTTCAGTTCCTGAACCGATTATGTGCCTCTATAATCCTTTATACCACCGCCCACGGGATGAGTATGGGGTGCATAAGAAAGAAAGAAATTGAAATTGAATCATCTCAACATATATTGACCTGCAACTTTCACATATTCAAGTACAAATGCCAAACAATGTTTATTAAAACATACAAGTAAATTCATGAATTCGAACTGCCATATTCATTGTCGATAACTTCAACTTCAGTTATATCTATAACTAGAATTTCAACTTACTTCAGTATCCAAAAATCTAGTTTCTGACCGATTCTCACCATTTTTTACATATAGTGTGCACAGCTGTCTGTTCTACAATCCCTATTGAATCGATTTTTCATATACCCTAACGGTTTGGAGTTATAAATTTTTCTTGTCTAAATTTGCGCAAATTTCAAATGCCATATTGATGATTTCTTTTTACAGTAAACTACACTGAAAACTTATGTTCTAAATATATGAAAATGAAGATCATATGCTATTCTGAGAGCATAATATCACCAAATGAACAATTGATATTTAATATTTTTGAAGCCGATTTCAAAACCTGAAGTTTTCAATATTCCATTTTATACTGTAATTATTTTATATTTTCTGGTTTTTCAAGTTACGTTGGTATCATTTAGACAAAGTTGGAGCATTTAGCTAGTAGATTATGCACAAAACATTTGAAAGCATTTCAGCAAATTTTAAAAACTGAGCTGTATGTCCGACTTCATTTGACATTTTGCGCAGCTTAAGGGCTGATGGATGTATTTATACTGGACAAAGATGGAATTCTCAATGGCTAAGAGGTATTGTACTTGGATACTGAGAATATGGAAGTTAGAATGACCAGAGCTAGAGGAGCACTTCACACATGCAATGTATTTATTTGTAACTTTTTCCTTTTATTTTATGTAACACATTATTACAGTACAGTACTGTACTTCTAAAGGAAAATAATTTCATTTTTTTTACACATGGAGGTAGCTCTCAGAAAATGTATTCATAGGGTTATGATTAATCAAGTTAGAAATGGAATCCTAAACAGATGAATAATTACCAAATAGATATCATCAATATACTTACAGTACTAACTTACCCAAAAACTGATGAGTCAAGAGGATCTTTAGAAAGTAAAATGACTATTGTTGGAACCTCCCTCACCACTCTCAAACGATCTAAGCCGTCTAACTTGGGCTCCCAGTATTCTTCAACCCTGCTGACCAGAGAAATTATTAAGTGTCAATTCTATAAACAAAATAACTTATCTCAATGGTGGTGGTTATGATATTGGAAAATGAGTTTAATTTAAGAAATAAAGACAAAACATGCATTGGCAGTGTACTCAAACAAAAATTGTATTCAAGACGTGACATGTATGTAACGTATTAAAGACATGACATCAACTAGTATAATGTATTGAAGACGTGATGTGACGTGGCATGCATCATACAGTTACAAGTATGATAATCAAAAGTTTTATTCATATATGATTTACATTTATAACTGGGAAGTATGCAAAAAACTGCAGTATGCTAATTACATAAGAAAGTCACAATAGCAGCATAGCATGTAGACATTATCATTATCCAAATCAGAAACTATATTTTTTTTTTTTTTTTTTTTTTTTTTTTTTTTTTTTTGAGATATATACAAGAGTTGTTACATTCTTGTACAGCCACTAGTACGCGTAGCGTTTCGGGCAAGTCCTTAATCCTATGGTCCCTGGAATACGATCCCCTGCTGCGAAGAGTCGTTTTTTCATCCAAGTACACATTTTACTGTTGCGTTAAACAGAGGCTACAGTTAAGGAATTGCGCCCAGTAAATCCTCCCCGGCCAGGATACGAACCCATGACATAGCGCTCGCGGAACGCCAGGCGAGACATTTTTGGCATAAAGAGAATGAAATTTAGCTTACAATTTGAAAGGTGACATATATTGGAAAAACAATGAGTAGTTAACCATTAGAACGATTACCTTACCTTGTGGTTACCTTGTGGTGATTCCAAGGATCAACGTCCCCATGGCCTGGTCTCTGACTAGGCATCTTGGTAGGTGGTCTGGTTGACGTGGCTGCTTACAGCCTGACGTATGAATCACAATTTACATCACAAAATGAGGACGAGGAGGAGACAATCAGAAGTAAAACTAATACAGGGGTACCTCGGTTTAAGAATTTAATCCGTTCCTGGAGACGGTTCATAACCCGAAAATTCGTAAACCGAAGCGAATTTCCCCATAAGAAATAATGGGAAATTAATTAATCCATTCCTGACTCCCCAAAAACGTCAAAGTAAATTTTATACCTAATTCACCCAAATCTTCACTACAAAAGTATGCTCAAGTTATTACTTACCCTTGTTGATGACTCCTGTTGGCGTATGGAAAATGGTGAGGAGGGGGGAGGAGGAGAGGTGTTACTGTTTGGAAGGGGAGTCCCCTTCCATTATAACATCAGGCAGTGAAGATTTTTCTGGAGTGCACTCTCTGGCACATTTTGTCTGCATACCACTAGGTCCTGGTTGTGGCTCCACTAGGTCCTGGTTGTGGCTCACTGCTCGATTTTCTCACTTTTCTCACAAGGAAACGTTCCATTAAAGATTGTTTTTCCCTTCTTTGCAACACTTGTCTGTAGTGAGGCATCACTTTGTTATTGAAAAGATTAATGCAACGGCCTGCTACAGCTTTCTCTGGGCGATTCTTTTCAGCAAAACTTTGCAGTCCTTCCCATACTGCACACATTTTCTTAATTAATGAGGAAGGGACATTCTCTACTGCCTCCTCTTCCTCCCCTGAAGATTTGTTGTACTGCCTAGCTAGTTCAACAACACGAGTACCATTTTCATGTTTGCGAATGATCTCTTTTTTTCTTTTTTTTTTCTCTATGGTCATTCTTGCATGTGTTTTCTTGACTTGAACCTTACCACTGCTTTCTTGGGACCCATGGCAAGATATTATATAACTCTTATGCTCAAGTAGTCAAAAATCCAAAAAGAAACTGTAAATCCTAGTGAAGAATTCAGGCGTGATAATCACTGGGCGTGAGGCACTGTTAAAATGAGGCGCGATTGCCGTACCACAACGCGCTAGGTCGGCTGTACGCGTATCAACAAACTCGTATCCCGATGCAAAGTTCATATCCCGATTCAAATTTTTCGAACAAATCAGCTCATAACCCGAAAAGTTCATAAACAGGAACGTTCGTAACCCGAGGTACCACTGTATTACTAATCACACCTTGAAGCTTTAGAAATTTGCACGACCTCAGTATTCTACATCAACAGATTTTGGGACTATCCCAGATCAAAATCATCCCCATGCACAGCTCATATAACATAGGTCTGACTTCACTAGAACTTAAAATGTCTGTCAGTAAGCCATCTCTTTGTGACAGTACTAGTAGTTTCTTAATAATTCCAAATATCCAGCTGGGTGTCTCCCTGCTTTGTCTGCAGCTAGTTGTTTTATTCTATCCGGTAGAATGCTGCACCATTATACAGTGTATATAATTCATTCTTAAGTTGTATTTCCTAACAATTAAGTCCATATTTATAGAAAAATTGGAGTGGCCAGTAATAAGTGAGTGCTTCCCCTTCCCAAAACAAAAGAGGAGTTGACTGAGTTTGGTGAATAGGTGATTTTTTTCAGACAAAAATTAAATACAGTATGGATAATTATAAAAAAAAAAAAAACAGAATTGAATGTAATGAAACCCCAATTGCTGGGTAAGCCCCGGAGGCTCCCTGGAGCTTATCGGGCTAATGTATGTTATGTTAGACCGGGACATTAGCTATGGAGTTCAGACCTACCAGGGACCATGAGCCAGAACCTGGCCCCTTCAGAGAGGTTGCAGGTTGCAATGGCCCTGGAAAACCCCTGTGGTTGGGGGTTTTCCTTATCTGTCATCGACCAGGGTTAGGCACCCAGAAAGGTAGGCATAATAAAACAAACCCCATAAGGTAAGAAACTAACAACAAAAATCGAACAGAGGTGTAGAACTCCCTACAATTCCAAGGAAACAAGCAAATGTAACACACTACTGCCTGGAACCTATGCAACCTCCAAATCTCCACACCCAAAATGAGCCCAAGACATGTTACCAAACACGGCAGCGAAACCTGCAAGCGTTTGAACGGCACGGGCGCAAGGATAGACCGCAGGCTGGCAGACTTAAGAACCCTGCAGACGACCTGGGAGACCCAAGCCCTGGAACAGGGAACGAGGGAAACTGGATCAACCCAAAGTGCATCCCCAGCCACAGCACGCAGATAACAGCGAAGAGCCGCAACCGGACACAACACATGATGTACCCCAGCCAAACCAACCAAGCATCAATAACCCAAGGACCCCTCCAGAAGGCAACCGTCTCGGCCTTCGGCAGAAAAATGTAGAAGGCTGCAAACGTACAAACCTACCACCAGTACCATAAGAGCAAAAACCCCTGAACCGGATGAGAGCCGGAAGCTCCCAGACCCGACCCCTAGAGACCAATGCCAACAAAAATATGCCTTTGAAAAACAATCTTGAACCGAAGGGGCTACCACAAACCGAGGAGAGGAAAGATAAGAGAGCACCCTGACCAAGGACCCGGACAGCTCAGATGGTGCATGAGCAGGCCGGAGGTGAAACAAAGCAAGAATGGGGCGGATGTGACGTCCACCCCAAACACAAGCCAGAGTGGCTCCACCAGCGCCGCACGATACGAGGCGACAGTAAGAAGCATCAATTAACGGTCCCAAAAAACCAAGAAAGAACAAGACAACCCGATGTGAAAGAGAAGGCAACCTACGAAGAGCAAGAAAAAGGTGAAAAGAAACGCCAGGAAACTACATACTGTCGCTGAGACGAAGCTCGCAAGTGGGACACCATCAACGAAGCCACCTGATCACCATAGAGATGGTGATACACCTGCATCAAAAGACCAGACACAAGGAGCCGAGGAGAAGGCCGGACCAGTCCTACCTGCTGAAAGAGGCAGAGCCGCAGGAAACGCCCCGGGTTCGGACACCAATCCAGCAGCGTTTGAAAACAAAGCTGAGCCGGCCACCAAGGGGCCCACAAGGGCTACTCTCCTTGGGAAAGACTCCAAACGAGTCAGAACCCGAAGCAACAGCTGGACTGGGGGAAGAGGTACAGGTAACTCCACCTCAACCAGTCCTGCTGAATGGCATTCACCGCGTACGCCTCGCAGGCGGGAAAAGGCGCCACATAAAATGGGAGATGCCGAGACCACACCGACGCAAAGATGTCCATGTCCGGGAGGCCGTACGTCATAGAGCCAATGAAACTGAGGCCAGAGAAGCATCTGTCCCGGTTAACATTAGCTTACGAACTGGAGTGCTATGCATCCGGTGAGGTCCGGGCCCCCCTTCCCCTCTTGGGGAGAGGAGGGCTGCGCGGACGAGCAGTACGGTAGTAATGTGTTATGTTTGCTTGTTTCCTTGAGATTGTAGGAAGTTCTACCTCTCTGTTCGACTTTTGTTGTTAGTTTCTTACCATGTGGGGTTTGTTTTGTTATGTTTACCTTTCTGGGTGCCTAACCCTGGCTGATGGCAGACAAGGAAAACCCCCAATGACAGGTGGGGGGGGGGGGGTCCAGGGCCATTGCTCCCTGCAACCTCTCTGAAGGGGCCTGGTTCTCGCTCATGGTCCCTGGTAGGTCTGAACTCCATAGCTAATGTCCCGGTCTAATATAACATACATTAGCCCGATAAGCTCCAGGGAGCCGTAGGGGCTTCCTTCAGAAAAGGCACCAGGTTGGGAAGACTATTTAGCACTGCCTGCATATCTCAAGAAGTACATCAACAAACTGGAAAAGGTGCAGACCTGCAACTAAATGGCTTCTGGAACTAAACAAATAAAGAGCTACGAGGAGAGGGCAGAGGTGTTAAATATACCAAAGCTAGGAGATAGAACAAAGACAACATGATCACTACATACAAAATAGTAACAGGAATCAACAAAATTGCCAATAAATTCTTGAAAACTGCAACTTCAAGAACAGGATTCAAACTAAAGAAACAAAGTTGCAGATAAAAAACATTAGCAAGTTAACATTTGCAGAGCTGCAGATGATTGGTGGCAAGTTAAATGAGGTGGTATTATCTAAAACCATCAGTAGTTTCAAAATGACATCTGACAGTACCAGGAAGACGGGACATGGGCGTAGCTCTCGTGCTTTAACTACACCTAGGTAATTAGTACAGTACTGTAATCTCTCTCTCTCTCTTATATACTCTCATCACTTCCAGTGAAATCTCCAGGAGAAAATAAAGATGTCTTTGTCTGTGTTACTAACTTCTTATAAACAAGCCGAGTTATTTGGTGGAGGTTTGCTATTCGCTTCTTGATCACTTCCACACACGACACAGCCTTCACTGCAGCTGGTCCCGAGCCTATCCATAGCTGCTGCTGGTCAGTTTTTAACCTGAAAAAACAAAAACAAAAATAATGAGAAACTGTTTTCATCTATGCTCATAAAGCAATCTAAAAAATGCTTATACAGTACTGGCCTTTGAGCATATTTGAAACAATTTGGATCATCATCTATGTAGAGCTATCTCAGTGAGCTACCTTCAGAAAGCCACTGTTCAATCTTGAGGTTATCTTGAGTTATCTTGAGATGATTTCGGGGCTTTTTTTTAGTGTCCCCGCGGCCCGGTCCTCGACCAGGCCTCCACCCCCAGGAAGCAGCCCGTGACAGCTGACTAACACCCAGCTACCTATTTTACTGCTAGGTAACAGGGGCATAGGGTGAAAGAAACTGCCCATTGTTTCTCGCCGGCGCCTGGGATCGAAAATCCTTCCAGAAAATATTAATTTTGTAGGGGTAGCAACTAAATATATATTTTAGACGCTAAGTTAATGTTGTAAACATGTCAATGCAGCATTAGATAGGTTGGAGAAGTATTGGACTATATACAGCCTGGCCTCGGACCTATATAGCCTGGTCTCGGGCCGGGCTTATGGAGAACAACAACTCCCAGAACCCCATCAAGCAGGTATTCCTTATAGTTTAATTTGTGGTGAATATTTGAGGCCCATCCCTTATGTTGCTCATTGACATAAGTAGAAAATGGGTCATACATTAGCTATTGTGGGTTGATTCTATCATCATGCACATCTTTTTTTAGGTTAAAAAAATCCAGTTTTTTATAGTTCAGTGTACAGTAATTTTCTATCGAAGTCAATAGAACATATTTCTAGCATATTTAATAAATCATTAGAGTAAGGCAGAGTGCTGGAGTCGTGGAGAGTTCCTAATGGGGGTACCAATTTTCAAGAAAGGAGATGATTTAATCCACTTATGTTGGATTATTGGCCAATTAGAAAGATCTGCCTCTAGAAAGGCAGAGAATTGCCAAAGAGTGACAACTGAAGTATACACGTACTGTAGATGAATGGGTATAACAAGGGAGATATTAATAAAGTATTAAATATATAAATACATAATGGAACAAATAAAACAGTGGATATAAATTGGATAAGTTTAGATTTAGGAAAGACCTGGGTAAATACTGGTTTGGTAACAGGGTTGTGGATTTGTGGAAAAAATTTACCGGGTAACATAATAGACGTAGGATCCCTCGATTTGGTTCAAACGTAGGTTACACAGATATATGAAGGCGTTTGGGTGGATATAGATAGGAGCTGCCACATAAGGGCTAATAGGCCATCTGCATTCGTCTTCAGGGGGTATGTGACCAGGATATATGAAAATTGTCGTAGGGTATTCAAAATTTATTATCCTGATACATGTGAAAGGTGCTGCAACTGGACCAAGTTTCATCATCTCAGCCTAAATAGAGAAGGAGAAAAAAAAAAAAAAAAAAAAAAAAAAAAAGGAAATTTTAGACAATTTTCCAACAATGTTCAATTGCTTTCACAGCCCACAATTGTAAACCGAAATAATTTCTATGACACTCAGCTATGACGTTACTATATAATAAAGAATTGCTAGTAAGGATTTTTATCCCAGATGTATTTAGTGCAATAATTCAGATTTATTAAATTTTCCCAAAAACGTATGCATCAAACTGAAGCTTATCATTATTTATAAAATCAATAAATCTACTTAGATAAACATCACTACTAGTATTTTTAGAGGCATAAACTCTACATATAATGTGCAAGTTTCATGTAAATTGAATAATAAATAAAGGCTGTGAAGTCAGATATAGTTGTAAAACACTTACCTGCAGAAACAAAGTTCAAAGTTGAGCCACCTGTGGGTGAGGTTGATGTTGACCAATATCATTCAAAATTTGCACCCTTGTAGAAAGGCATGGGCTCAATATGGTGTGCAAGTTCCATGAAGATCGCCTGATTAATAAAAAAAAAATTATTATTATTAAAAAAAAAAAAAAAAAAAAAAAAAAAAAAATTAATATTTGTCACCAGTTGTATATGTACAAATATTTATGAACTAATATCACAATATAACACTAAAACATACTAACCTAATATAATTGGTCAGAAATATGAGTCCTGCAGGTGGCACTGCATTGGCACTAGTAGGTCCCTGCCCCATAACCTGGGTCAGCTCCCTCAGGGGCCTGTCGTGGCTTGGTGGTGCGTTTCGTTGGTATCTGCATCTCCTTGTTCTTCCTTTCAAAGTACCAGTCTCGTACGTCACTTTGTGGTAGACCAATGAGGCTGGTCAGAGATCCGGTCACATATCCGACGTTGTAGTTGACAGCTGTCATTGCCATTGCGAAGTCGACCATTACACGACCGACAAACATCAGGAGTATCAGGTCCAACATCAGGAGTATCAGGTCCAACATCAGGAGTAGCAGGTCCAACATCACGAGTAGCAGGTCCAACATCTGGAGTAGCAGGTCCAAGACGTGCGGTGGCAGAGGGTAGGAGTGTGGGGGGGGGGGTGGTTGCGGGCTGCGACAGGCCCCTCACACTCGCGGCAGAGAGGCCACCACGATCCTCACTCGACACATTGCGTGATTTACGCATTGCATCCAGCTCGTACCTTCTACAGATAGCTCGCCTGCATTTAGCTTTCATTGCTTTCTTCTTGTTCGTTTGGTAAGTCATATTGCAGTCCAAATAGCACAGAAATAGCGAGCGTTCTGGGAGATATTTTGAGCGCGCGTCAACTATACATCCACCTCCTATGGGACACAGAGTTACTGACTGCTCAGCCACACCCCACCCTCTGCCTCACACGAGACTGTTGCCAATGAGTGAGTTTATATTCGTTTTATGCATAATATGTTATTTACAACGCTATTACGAAATATTAGACCTCTACAATGTAAAACACATTACTCCGCGGCGCACCCAGGCCGCGAGGCCGGATTTGGCAAAGTTGCAGCGGGAAATTTGACTCTAATTACGTTATTTATCAAGATAACATTAAACAGTTTCCACCACAGTGTTGCCAGAACGTTGTAGTATTTTTCGTAATTTTTCGTAAATATTCCATTTTTCTTCGGATTTTCGGGTACCATGGCCCCTTCATTGATTCTTATGTTCTTATGTAATATATGAGAAATAATTGGGGTGTATGAGGGGGGCCTGACAGCTGAGTGGACAGCGCTTCACATTCGTAGTCCTGAGGTTCCGGGTTCGATCCCCGGTGGAGGTGAAAACAAATGGGCAGTTTCTTTCATCCTGATGCCCCTGTTCACCAGGCAATAAATAGGTACCTGGTAGTTAGACAGCTGTTACGGGCTGCTTCCTAGGGGTGTATAACAAAAAGGAGGCCTGGGCGAGGACTGGGGCGCAGGGACGCTAAGCCCCGAAATTATCTCAAGATAACTCAAGATCAATATACGTAATCTAATGGCCTAGAAGGCAATTGAGAGCTGATTGTGGAGCCTCTCTTCTGGGTAAAGAATAGGAGACAGACTAACTATGCTCTATTATTTAGAGATTATAGTATTTGTGTGGTCTTCTTTAGCTACATAATCAGAGTCCCTCCACACTGATTACTTCTGTTTGGAGAGTTAAGCTATTGTAAACCTAATCTGATGAATAGATAGATATTGCACTTGATACCAATGTCCTTATTGCTATGCTGGCAAAAATTATTTATGAATATTTTATCAGAGAGGAAGAAAGTGATTCAGCACCAGCAGGTGTGGATTGAGAAGAGAATTGTTGGAAATTTATTTTTAAGTTTCTGTAAATGGTGTTAGACTGGATGCAGGATCCTCCCCCCAAAAAATAATACAGTACCATTGTACAGTATTTATATTTTCTGCTTAAACTTTACTCTGACCTCCATACGTTGTCATGGAAAGAAAAAGGGAGCAGAATACCACAGTACTCAGTAGCAACAGGAGTGTTTATAGCACTTTGATTAAATTAGTTAATTATTTATGCTGTGGCAAGACTTCAGAACTACAGTACCACCCACTACATAAAAAAATGAACCCCCCAAACTACAAACCTGACCACACTACCATATACTGTACACCTCAATTCTTACTTATTGAGAGCAGTAGTTATCACATCCCTCATCTTGCTGCTGGGGCTCACCACAATTCTGGAAGTACCATTGTGGCACCCGGGAACGGACACCTCTATATCCAACTCTATGTTGTCACCCTTGCTGTAGTTCTCCACTGATGAGATCGGGAAGATCACATTTTGGTGAAATGAAGCAATAAATAACATATTACAGTATTATCATAATTATTTGTCTTTTTCTATTACAGTGTATGTCTTTTTCTATGATTGAAGTCACTTGTTCATGAAAATATAGCAAAACTAGATTTTAAATATAGTAAGTTGTTCTTTTAAGAAATTCTAAAAATAAAAAACAGCAAACAATGTATAATTGCTAATTTTAAGTACAGATCTCTATATTAACTTATGTCTTACATAAATACTATACACCAAAACCTTTAGCACAACCATTACAGAAATGCTGCAAACATCTTTGGTACAGTACGGTATAGCAAAAAAAAAAAAAGAAAAAATGTAGAAAGTGTCCTTCACAATTGAGACAATGTATGATCCAAATCATGACAAGTTGCTCATCAAATACCATTCCCTTGGTCTGCAGGCCATCAAAGAACCATTTCTGTAATTCAGTCTGTGAACGAAGTAGTATTTATATCTGTACAATACTGAAAATATAAGCTAGCCACAACATCAAAGATACATGGTCACCTTTGCAAAGGAAATTTTTTAATTGGAGATGTTTCCCAGGCCAAAGAGCTCCTACCCATACTTACTTGCTTCTCCTGCAGATGGTGTTTGGTGATCGTCTCCATGTAGGAGCAAGATGTGTGCCAGTCTAGTCCACCTGCACTACCATTATCCTCATCATTGCTCTGATATATGCATTCTGCTTCAACCTATGTGAGACATAAAAAAAACTTTATCCTAAAATAGCTCAAATCCCATGGATTACCAGGCAGAAAAGGCAGTCATTTATTTATGTAATTGCAGTAAATATTTGAATACCTTCTTAAGCCCAATAGGTATCAGTAAACCCTTGACTAGAGACACCTCAATAAATCAAACAAGTTTCCTTTCCCCCATATGGTGTATAATACCATATACAGCACTGCCATAATATGAGGCATGTGTGCAAGATACATCTGCCTGAAATTTTAATACAGTACAATACGCACAGAAATCACAATAGCGTGATGCATCAAATAAATAAGTCGATAAAGGCAGCATCTGGGATGATCTCGGACGTAGGTTCGAATCCTTGTCATGCCCCTTATGGATTTGTTCAATACAGTACAATATTTAACACAAAACCTGCAATAAATCTAATGAAACACCTCTTTCTGGTAGGGCCTCAGTGAGGTCTTGAAGCTATCTTGCTGAGACGGTTCTCCCTGATTTAATTTTAATTATCAGGGGAAAGCGCCAAGCCATTACAACTTTATACTTGTAATGGCTCCCCCTGAATGCCACATCAGCCACAGGAATCCTGTATAGCCTTCTGGGGACCAAAGCCAGAACCAGGGCACCCCCTTACTCCACAAGTGCACCCTCTTGAGTTGTCAAGTCACAACAATTATGTACTTAACTGTTTGGACCTATTCTAACTAAGGACCCCTACAAATAGAAAAGGCGACAGACAGCCCATCAATTTTGTGAACCACTATGATTTATCATAGTTTAGCCGTTAAGGATTTATGCGTCAAAATAATTAATTTAATAATAATTTATTGTGTCAAAGGACAGGCAGCCAGAGTGTATTTATACAAAATTAGGCTTATACCAAGGTACCCCCCCCCCCAAGGTCGAATTACTGACCCCCTCCCCAGGATGCAATCCCATAACAAGCTGACTAACTCTTGGGTACCTACCTACTTACTACTTTTAGGCAAGAGTACATACAGTACAGTACATACATAGGATACAAGCAGATTGTTGGATTCATGGGTAGGTAGGTACGTAGTCTCCTAAAGCCATTAATACACAGAGCATTTCGTGCATAATTTGGGAAAAGTTAAAAAGACTTAAAACTAAGTGAGCTCAAAATCATTAATGAGAGAGAGAAATTGGAACAGAATGACTTTCATGATGGATGGAATGGTAAAATTGTAACAGAGCAGCAGATAGTAATTTGACAGAATAAGCAGAAGGAATACAATTCAAAAGGTAGATACTAGTGGTAGTGTGCCACAAGTTGATGAAGGTTGACTACCTTTTTGAGATAGAGCCCAATAGGCTCCAGAATCTGTACACCAGCTGATTGACAGTTGAGAGGCAGGACCAAAGAGCAAAATCTCAACCCCCACAAGCACAACTAGGAGAATAACTTTCACTCTCTCCACAAACAAGACAAAAGCATACTCTGAGCACAAGTGGGGAGAAAATGATGTTCTACAAATTAATGGTATAACACTTGAATGGGTTGACCATTATTGGTACCTTGGTGTCACTGTCAGCTCTAACAATGGCAAAGAAAGACAAGCTCTACCAACTCATATGAACATGTAAATGTCGACTCAGGGCACTGAAGGCTATGACCTTCCCCTTCAGAGATCCCCATTACAATGATATTGCCAAGAAAAACCCGAGTTCTGTGCTACTTACAGGAGGAAACAGGAGAAGCAAAAAATGACATCACAGTTCAGTCTGCTACCTCGAAGAACTTCACCTGCTTAAACAAGCCCGTGAGCGCCTGCCTGTAGAGGTTACCTCCCTAGGAGGATGACTCATGCAGGATTATCATCAATGAGATAATGAAAAAGTCTAACATGATACCACAAGAAATGAGGCACAGATATCTGGAGGAAATTTATAAAGAAGCCGGAGATGAAATAGATCAAATCTACACTGATGGGTCATCTAATCCTGTCAATGGCAGGGCTGGTGCAGCATACACTGTACTGTAATAAGGAATAATGCCTTTCAAAGTGGAAATGAAGAAAAAGCACATATTGAGAACTATGCCTCTTCAATGCAAGCAGAGCTAACTGCCAGTTATGGCGTTATGATTCCTTGAATGAAACACTAATGGTGCAGTGATCTGCACCGATTCAAAAGCAATGCTACAAAGCCTTAGTAAAAATCCTGCAGAAAATCTTGTGATAGTTGCTGAAATTAATAGAACTGTGAGGGTACTAACCAATCAGTGAAGAGTGGTCACATTCCTGTGGATCC